ATTTATTATTTTTATTTGTCTCGTCACTTTTACGAATAAATAATCGTGATACTCAAAGAAATACGCCGTTGTGTCACACTGGATGTTTCGAGGCTTAATTGGACTTGAACGGAACTTGACCAGACTTCAGCGTACTTCAGAGGACTTGACGCGACTTTGGCGGACTTTGGGAATTTAGAAGATCTGAGAGGACTTTAAAGTCCGCTCAAATCTATAAAGTCCGCAGTTTCCCCCTTGGGTTTTCTACGCTTCCTAACACCTTTCTTACTGTACTGAATGCTGCTTGACGGTGCTGTAGAGAGCTCGGAGGCATCTTAATTCGTTCAGGAATCGTTTCTGTACACGATGAGGCTATTACAAAAAAAATATCACTCCAATTAGAGAACTTAGTTTTCTAGGGTTTCCAGAGGCCTGGGTGGTAGAAGTTTTAGTAGAATCCTTATTTGACATAGACCAGATTGGAAACTTCTTGAGCTAATCAAATCTTTCCTCACATTCGTTGTAGCTGCTATCAAGGAGAAGGAGCAACTAAAAATAACCCTGGTTCAATAGTTTTCAGAACCACCGTAACTAAAAGTCGTCAGAGTCATATGCTATTCAGTATATAAATGCTTGACAGGTTAAATTCTGCATTTTTTTATATCATTTCAGGGCCGATTTTGTATACAACACTGCATCTCCATCGTACAATAGATCAAAATTACTGCATCCGTTGGGTATCTTGCCCATAAGTGTAACAACCTTAGGATTTGAAATACATTATTAGTTACTTACATCATTAGTAAACATACATTAGTTTACCCATGCTTAATGGTACTGATCGTTCGGTACCATTGTACATGTATCCTGAAGGGGTAAAATCAAATCTTTGGGATAGAAAAAGAATTCCTAGGAAAGGTACTGGAGGCTAGTACAGTATTATCTCTCTCATATACTTCAATTCAATTTTTCTTCAGTGGATTTTCTCTTTATATGACTCAACACTAGCGTTTTAAAATTCCATTTCAATTTCAACCTATTCTTTATATAGAAAATATACAAGTAACAATATTCTCCATATATCATAATCTCGTTCTCTTTCTTCCTTCTCTCCTCGTCATGCACATGGAATTTCATTCTTCTCTGTAATGTGTATGCCTAGATTAGAAAAACACTATATATATATAATCAGTTATTTTTGTTTTCAATTTTTATGTAACATCCTGTACGAAGAGAAACTTGAAAATGACCGTATTAATAGGTCGAAATATCGAATTATAGTTTTAATGTTTTAGTTTTAATTGTTTAATTTTTTATTATTTTATTAAAACTTTTTATTAAAATTCTTAACACGATAGCCGCATTGCTTTTAAAATTTTTATTCTTAATTTTGCCCATGAACTCGAAAAACGTTATTGAAATACATCATTCTGTATCAAGCCAAATTTCAAGCGAGATATGTGTCAGTATTTGTCCAATACATTTAAGAAGGCAGATCTTCAAAATAATGTGTTATAGCTCATTTTGTAGCTAATGAAATTCTCTGTCGAGCGGTATATGACGTGAAGTGATTAATGCAAAAATAAATGGATATTATGGAACATGAACGATGTTGACCTATCGGTTCGTTGACGAAGGAACGTTTTTCGGTGAACTCTTTCGATTTCGTTCGTTCATATGTCGATCGATAGAGGGTATCGAGCTAGTAAAAAACCTAAACTGATTTGGGTCCATGACTCTTGAAGATACGATTTTCTGAAAAACCAGTTTTTCCGAAACTCTAAAAAAGAACTAAAATCCTTTTCTAATGTGGTCGGATTGTAGCAAGCAAAATTCTGATTAAAAATGAGACGTCTCCCAGCTCTACACGACCTTTCTTTGCAAAATCATAGAATTTACAAGAAAAGGCCTAAATGTTCATTGTCAGCTGAAAGCTACAGAAATAAGAAATTAATTTAGGGCTTTTCTTGTAAATTCTATGATTTTGCAAAGAAAGGTCGTGTAGAGCTGGGTGACGTCTCATTTTTAATCAGAATTTTGCTTGCTACAATCATGCCTCATTAGGAAAGGGTTTTAGTTCTTTTTTAGAATTTCTGAAAAACTGGTTTTCCAGAAAATCGGGTCTTCAAGAGTCATGGGTCCGAATCCTTTAACGCTTTTTACTAGCTTTAGAGTATTCTTTATATTAGACTACTCAATCTGATTTTGTTCTAAATATTTTAATAAGCAAGAATTTCACGTCATCAATGGTTATGTATGATCAGTTCTTGATCGGGCCCTGTAAAATATAAGATAAACATCGATGTCTTGCGAGGGAAGCTGTCAAAAATAATAGAATGCGTAGAACGTAGACGTAGACTATAATAAATGTCGTCGTCTCGCCTTTCTTTTTCTCTTATTTGCAGAAAGAGAAAGAAAGCGAAAAATCTTTTCTGCTCACAGAATGGAAGAAATTTTCGTTTTCTATTATCAGTTGCACAATTCATTGTCGAACTATTTTTCAGCAATAGGGGCCCTCTGGTTGTTGAGATAGAGGGTCACCAATATCATTACTTAGCTTCATTAAAAAATAGTTTCTTCTTGAGTAGTTACATCACCTTTAAATAAACTTTTTTGTACTATCAACACTTTCCGACTTTCTCTTCTGGTCATGTAGTCACTAATGTTGACCTTTTCTGTTGACCTCTTCATTCTCTTTTTCTATGTTACTGTCTATATCATCCTGTTGGTTGAAAAAGGTCTCTCGAAAAGAGAATTCTATGCTTAATTTATTTAACTGCATTTAAGATCTGATATTAATACTATAAAGTCGCCTCAATATATTAGACTAACTATAATAATCTTGAGGCAAACGAAACGCCCGTTTTCGAGATTGTAGATGGACAGAGGTGGCAGCCATGGTAACAGACAAAAGTAAATGGCATTTATGTTGTAACAAAGAAAATAAAACACAACGCTTTTTCTAACAAACATCTGGTAAAATCTTCTAACAATGGAAGGTCGTGTATTGTAAGTGAAATTGATCGACCATATTCGGGTCAAATGAACACTCTCTCTGAGAAACTAACAAATTTAAAATATGAGCTGCCCTTGGCTTGCCTGGACAGAGATATTCAATTTTTAAGTTGTGCATTATTAGGCTATAGAAACATGATAATATATGAATTAATCACATGGAATTTTTAGTGTAACCATCAGATTTTTCAGACAGCGAGCTTCCCAAATTTTGATGAATTTATTGACAATATTCAGACTTCTTCAGGTACGACTTCTTCTGAAGTTTAATAGTACATAACAGGAGCTTTATCTCTAATTATATACAGAAACCCACTATCTATCCATATTTTTGAGTTTATTTTGCATGAAAGTAACAGATTGTAGAAAACAATATTTCGAGAGATGTATTATAGATGTAGATGAAGATCTTCGATCGAATGATAATAACAAAGGTGTCTTTTGCACCAAGCGCAAGTTAGAAGAGTTCGCTCTTCACAACGAATAACTGAGCAATAAAGATTATAGAAATTAAAGCAAACATCTGCTGGTTTCTTGATTTCACCAACTGTTTCATTGAGTATCCTGGCTTGTGCGAATCCAGACTTAAAATAAGATTTTTGAATTGCGGAGGAGATAGTTGGTTGTGAATAATAGAATGCATGTTTATAAAATATTGGCGATCGTTCAAGTTCATTTCTGTCCGATTGATATGAACGTAATGCTCAATTTTCTTATGAAAATATCGCCGCGAACGAAATAAAGATAAATCCTGAGGTTGAATATGACCAGTTGATCCTTCCGGAAAAATTAATAATTGACTGTCTTGATGTGGAAATACTGCTCTAAATTATTTTAGAACAGCTTGAGTTTTCCAGCAATCAAGGAAAAGAAGAAATTTTCTACCAACCAAAGGACGCAGAACTTCATTTAAAAAAATGGAGTCCACGACAAATCATCGAAAGTATTTTCATCGAACGACATTTCATCGACGACATTTCGTCGAAAGATTTTTCATCGCACGGACTTTTCATTGAAAGATTTTTCATCGCACGGACTTTTCATCGCTAGAACTTTTCATCGCAATATATTTTCCTATAATTTTCTCTTTTCAAATTTGTACAAAAGTTGTGAAGAAAAACAAGAAGTGGGACATAATTGAAACAGTGAACATAATAGTTTTCAGATGAGACTAGCAGCTACAATTGTCTATAATTTTATATTATGAGCTAGATTTTCTAGTTGATCCATAATATTTGAATGAGGATTATTTATTAAATGAAGTAATCGTTTTGTATGATCCAAATACTTTTTTCCTGGGTCAGGAGCATCACCCGCATCTAATCTTACAATACGAGTATAAATGTAATTTTCTTCGTGTTGTAAATGTTGAATGAATTTCCACATAGATGGATGATCACAATTAAATATTGATTTTAAACGAGCATGCCATGATTCAGCCCCGTTTGTTGTTCGTACCAAACCATCTGTTATACGAACATTTATATTCCAAAATGCTAAATCATATTGAGGTTTAGCTCTACCGTAAGGACGTGTACGACCAATATATGTTTGTTGAAAATATAATAATAACGGTTTAAATGCTAATGGTAATTCATCAGATAATTCTCCAAATGCATCTACAACATCATCAACTGGTATCAAAGCTAAACAAACAATCATACGTGCTTGACGAGCAAATCTAGCATTTGTATTATAATCGTTTTGCATTCCTAATTCTTGGATTTTGCGATGAATAGTTTGACGAAAATGAAAAAAACAGCCGGTCATTTGAATATTTGGAAA